GGTCCGACGTAAAAGAAACGAACTACTCTTCCTACTCTCTCTCCTCCCCCTACCCCACCCTTACTCTATCCTAACCTACTACTCTCTCTCTCTCTCTCTACCCCCCCCAAAAAAACCGGAAAAACGGGGGGACGGAATTACTATAGAAATACTCTTCTATACTTCCTATTTTCTCTAGCCGTTTCCTTCTCTCTCTCTCTCTCTCTCTCTCTCTCTCAAACATGTTTTGCTCTCTAGGGATTCCTTGTATTTAACCCCTTTTCTAGATAGAAATGTATTTTCCATGTTGCATCCAGATTTATCGAAACAGCAAGACTCCATGTTACAAGAAATGTTTTTGTCAAGAAATGTAGTTGCAGGAAATAATTTTTTCCAGACAATTTTTCTTCAGGGATCCAAACGGGATCTTAATCTATTCACAAATTTATATCCCGAACTGAAAACCCAATTGTTGCTTGAGTTATTTGCTAACAAGAGGGAGGGAGGAGATTTGCTAACATGCTTGTAGCCATTTATATGATGAGGTTATTAGAAAAATGAAGAAGAGTAAATGCAGTAATTTGGACAATGGAAAAGGCAAAGAGGGGGGGGACTGGGGGGGTGGTTAATGTCTTTTTTTTCTAACTTCGGGGGGGTCTTTTGTGAGCTTTTTATAGGTTGGGGTTATTTGGGATTATAATTTTAGAGGGAAGGGGTAGGGGGGGGGGGGTATGGCAGTTTTAGTTTAAGAATATTTCAGTAGGGGGCTGGGGTGTCACAGTGTCCAACAACACTCACAGCTGACCATTCATTGTGTATTTTGTTGCAAACTCATCAACGGATTCAAGGGAGGGAGGAAGGGGATTGCAGACATGCTCATAGTATGGTTAACTTTGTTATCTTATCTATTCTTTGGCAATAAAATATCCTTGCCCTATATGGCCATTCCATTTGCCAAGAGTGGTGACGAAAACAAAGTAGAAAGAGAGGGGGAGGGAGGGCGGAGGAGATTTGTTGACATGCTTGTAGTGTATGGAAATTTGTTATCTTATCTATTCTTTGGCGATAAAACATACCTGCCCCATACGGAAATTGATTTATCATTTGCCAGGATTGGGGAAATACGACCACTGATGCATTTGAGTTGTGCATTTGAGTTGTTCTTGGTTCATAAAGTACTTTTGTCAATTGCCCTTGGTAATAAAAAATGTCATTGCTTAGAATTGAATTTTTAATGATTTGTAGTAATTATGTCAAAGTTATCTTGGTATGTCAATAAGTTTCTTGATGCTTTGGGCATGCGTGTAAAGACTGACAAACATTGGTGAGAAAGTTAATGAAGGGAAACTGGGGGATGTTAGTCATATTTTTAAAATTTAAGGGGGTGATAGTTTTAATTAAGTATATCTCATTTGGGGTCTCACAGTGTCCAACGATGCCCACAGCTGACAATCTGTAAAATATCCACCGTATACTTTGTAGCAAGCCCTATTAAGGTTTTGCTGGTTTCATTATGTTCCTATGATTTAAGATATGTTTTTGCATATTCTCAGACATGACAACTTAACACTATCTGAGATTCTGCAATTTTCTCTTGTGCTTTTCAGTATTTCCTCATCAATACCAACTAATGTAGTGAGTGTTGAAATGATGCTTCTGTTACTGATGTTGATTTGATTCTTGACAGGAATCTATGAAGCAGATATATCAGAAATCCATGAAGGCTGCAAGTGACTATGGTTTCCTTAAGGAGAACCCTGAGTATGTCTTCCTCCCCAAACCCACCTAAATGAGATGTCTTTTGGCAGCATGTGTTAGTGGAGCAAGGCACATCTATCTTTCGTTGTTATACACCGTTAAACATGTATATAGTTGGATAATCATTTTCTCTATGGGAAAGTATATAATGAAACCATTTACTTTTAGTACAAGGCGGTCACAATTAATCTTGACGATTGGATGTGAAATTGGGTGGCAGCATTTATTTCATTGACCAAGCTCAAAGTTCAAAAGAAATTTTCTCGAACTTTGTGACACATCCAAGCTATCAGATATCACATCAGATGGTTGTAAATAATTGTGACCTTCTTGTATCAAAAGTAAATGGTCTCATTGTATACAATCCCTTTCTCTATTGGCAAGTAATAGAGAAATAGAAATAAAAACGAAATCAGAAGCCCTCAAAGATTTTATACCTCTTTTTCTTGGACTTAACAGAGATTTGGTTAATTTTCTGTCTGTAGTTAGTGTGTGTATAGTTTTTGGGAGTCTAAAACCATGGAAAGTTGTTCCAAATATTGGTAGAGTTATGAATGTTATGTGAGTCTTCTTTCATTCTTAGAAACAAATGACTTGTTTGTACAGCTTCCATCAACTTTTTGATTTTGGGCATCTCTCATAGAAGCCTGGCATTGTACCATTGAACCAAAGGCCACAGCCTGACGTCCACTATTCCAGTTCTTCTTAAATTACTCTGTATATTATGAATCTTGTGATTAGTGTTTTAAAAATCATCAAGCTGGCTCAAATCAGCTTTGGACCAGTTTGAGTCCCCAACATAATCGGGACTCAGACCAGTTCACCCCTAAAAATCGTATTTTTATGAGTCAAATGTCATAAACAAATTGCTTTTAGGTCAATTTGAGAATCCTAAATCATGTTTAAATTTTTGAACAACCAAGATTTAAATTTCTTTTAGTTTATTTTTTATTTTCTAACTTCATGGAGACCTCCTAGCTGGTTCACTGAGAGACAGTGGGTGACTGGTTTGTCATGTTTAAATTTTTGAACAACCAAGATTTAAATTTCTTCTAGTTTATTTTTTATTTTCTAAATTCATGGAGACCTCCTAGCTGGTTCACTGAGAGACAGTGGGTGACTGGTTTGTCACCCACCGGTCGTATTTTTAAAGTATTGATTTTGATTATGTGGGACCTTGCTGTTTATGCAAATCAATTGATTAGTCGCAAGTATAGTGTTCTCGTTATGGTTGAGAACTAAAGGATTGTTGCTCATCACATGAAGCACTTAATTTGCTGATAAATTTCATTTTAATTACTAATTTTATTGGTAATTGACATGTCTTTTCTCTGTCTTAACACCTGGGACCTTGAAGTTTATGTCAATATGTTAATTACATTTGATTTTCAATTTATGACCTATAAAAAATGGTTTTCTTGCTCGTACATTTTATTGCAGGGCTTTAGTACATGGAGGAACCATTTCAGCGTTCTTGAATCTTGCACAAGCTATGATTGAACAAGGTCGTGTTTAAGTACATATCCAAGCAATCAAGGAACTCCATCAATTGATGATGCTAGTACACTGGACTCTATCCGGCAGTCATGGTAATAACTCTCATCGGTCAATCTTGTTTAGCTTGAGGAGTCCAAGATTGATTCACAGGAAGAAGGCTGGATGCGTAAGCACCACAAGGTTTCGTTGAGTCTGTTTGATACTCCTCCACGGGTCTTGCGGCAAGCGGCAAAAATGTAACATAGTATTATATATGTAACTATTGGGTATTCTATTTCATTGAGAGCTGAAGAAAGAGATCCATTGTAGAGAGACGGGTCTTGTCATCTGTTGCCGAAGCACAATACCAGGCACTGTGTTCAGTGTTATGAGGAAACCTTTTTAAGTTATAATAAGATGTATTCTTTGAGAATGCTGTTTCACCATTACGAGTCCCCAAAGCCCCAACATATTATTCAAATCTTTGATGATTTTTCCTTTGCCTTGTCTCTCTAGTAGAACATAATTGCAGTGCAAACACTTCTCTGCTGACTTTTCCTGGACTTTCCATTGAGGGCTGAAGAAATATATTTTAAGAAAGTGGTTGGGATCTTGTCAAAGCTGTTGCCAAGGCACAAACCCACATTGCAATGTTTAGTGTTACAAGGAAACTTATGTTGTAGTAAGCTGTATTCTTAGGGACATGGTTTTACCCACCCCCTGAAGGGCCAACACTTCCTACCCCCTCCCTCTGTCTCTCTAATGGAACTAAAAAAATAAAAGGGCTTTAGTCCTGGGTTAACTTTCCTTATAGTAACTGTACCTTAGAGCCAATGTGCCAGCTTCTAGCTCCCCCTTTCCTTGAGGAATAGCGTCATGATACATTATGTGATGCGGTTTTGTATAGAGCCGAGACACTAAACAATCAAAGCGCACTTTTAAATAGTGTTAAGAAATATAGTTTCAATACTGGAATTTTTTGTGAAAGTCTTAAAATATATTTTCATTTTTAATTATAAAATTTAAAGCTTAAAAAATAGTGTAGACCGAGCAAATCTATGAAGACTTGAAAATCTTGAAAATTGACGGTCCAAAAATACATTACAAGATGCACTATTTTCAAAACTTGAAATCCATTTTTTTCTCATGTCTATGCATCTTGATATCAAGATGATTACTTAGAGGATATTTGGGCATCAAAACAATCTCTTCTAGTGAAAGTTTTGAGATGGGCTCTAATTTGATTATTTAGAGCCTCGGCTCTATATAAACTTTTTCTTTATTCTATTGATCAAGTTTAAACTTCAAAATTTTTTTTTCGAACTTTGTGACGCATCCAAACTATCAAATTTCATATCAAATGGTTGTAAGGAATTGTGACCATCTTGTATCAAAGGTAAATGGTCTCATTGTATACAATCCTTTTTTTAAATATACTGTGATCCTAACTTTTAGAGTATGTATAATCTTTAACATGGAGATCATGTGTATGAAAATAATAATAATAATAATTGATAACTAGAAAAATTAATTATATTAAGAAAACATTTGGACAGTTAGTTAAATTGTTTTTAGATGGACCATCTATTTGCATCATCCATCTTTACGATTGATGCTTTATACCTCTTGAGCGCATATTGTAGAAATGTGGTCCAGCCTGCATGAAACAATTGTTCTAAGTAAAATCCAATCAGAAATTTAACAGAAAACAAAATTGCAATCTTCTACTAAAATTTTAAAATATGGGAAAAGTTTTTATACCTCCTCTATTGCCTAGAAGACATATACTTCCCCTTCCATCTAAACATCCAATTTAGATCTAGTGAGCCAATAACCATTTGATCAATATCCAATTTAGATCTAGTGAGCCATTGACCATTTGATCTATATCCAACGCCTTAGAGTATTTTATTTTTATTTTTTTTCTACAAATTATATGAATATAAAATTTAGTACATGCATGGTATGCACCTAAAAAAAATATTTTCGATAACATACAACGATTATCAAAATAAGCCTAAAACATTAAGGGTTATTTTAGTAAATTTATTTTATTAAAAATATTTTATTTATATTTTTTACATGTACAAGTTTAATAGAGGAGTGAACTCCTAAAATTTGGCGACAAAACAATTTGGAAAAATAAAAATAAAAAAATAAAATAGTGTAGAAACATGATATTGTGATTGGGGGCACCATTTAGAATGGACAGCTGGATTGGAGGTAGTATAGAAGTTTATGCAGTAGGGGAAGCATAAAAAGCTAGCCCTTAAAATATCACCATCGGTTTTCTAAATGTTAAAAATGGTAATAAAAATCTCGCCCCTTCGAGTTTCAGCAGAAAGTGTTGAAACTTCAGAGTAACTTTTTGAAAGTGAGAACCCCTTATTTTTATAAGAGTAAACTTTTTGAAATCAGTGATACAATTAAAAATTACATAGCACCGTTGCCTTATCGATTCTTCAAATTTCCTCAAGTTGCTAAAATTTGTTGCTTGGATGGTTTTACACGGAGAAATCAGTCCTCGCATCTTATTTTCTTTTACTATGAGTGGGAATGGGTCGGGTGAAACCCAAACCCAACTTGGCTAGTTTTTAGTTGGACCAGCCAAACCAGACCCAAGTCAGGTCCAAGTCAATTGGACCCCACTTGGGTGGATCAGGGTCTTTATATATAAAAAATATAGTATATTATCTTAGACAATATACTTAATATTATTATATATTTATACCACCAACATATACTGGGTCAGGTCAGGTTCGATTGACCATGACCCGGATCAGACCCAACCCAAACAAGATCTGAGCCAGACCCAAACTTAGACCCAAACCCAGGATGCATCAAGGTCAAACAGACCAAGGCCCTACCCTTCCGGTCCAAAATCTAGGTCCAAAACTGGACCCTGTTGGGTCGACCCAACCCACTTCCCACCATTGTTTCGGCGACACCCACCCAAACCATGAATTTGTAAATAGAGAGAAATGGAAGTCCACGATTTCCGCACTTACATGCATGCAAATGCTAAGAATTAGGTGACAAAACAGCTAGCCCTAGCTCAATACCACCTCAGGCTAATGGCATAAAATATTAAAGGAAAAAGTTGCAAGGCATTCACTTAAGGCCTGTGCCCCAAGCTACATGTTATCTCTTTGTTCCTTTTCAAGTTTCAACTATTCCTGCTCCCAGTGTTGGGTTTGATTTTAATCAAAGGAAATCACACCATATGTATTGTCGAAAGACAGATGTAACCTGAGTACAAGAATCCCCAAAGGGAGCGGCTGGAAGTGATGCAAAAATTTCATAATCATCCCACTAATGCTTGAACATCTATGCACGAATAGCTAATTTACTAAGAAGGATATCTCTAACAAAAAGAGGTTTAAATGCAAGTTCTTCAATCCAATCATTAAAACTCTCTCTCTCTCTCTCTCTCTCTTTCTCTCTGTAAAGCAATTCTTATAAAGCTCCCCATCACCAGGCAAACTTCAATTTTTGTTCAAAATATTCTACTTCCTGAAAGAAATTTGGGGAGGCGCCTCTGACTGGAGATAGTGATCAAGCATATCTTCTTCATCATCTGCAGTTTCACATAACGAGCACAAATATAACATAGATATTCAAAACAATTAAAGTTCAGACACACAAGAACACCGGTTTAAAAAGTTGACATTTATTAGGTGAACTCTTCTCTCTTTCTCAATCTCGATGCAAATATTACCTTCAAAGTCATCATCAAAATCAATATCTTCTTCTTCTTCCCCTTCAGACCCTTCCATAACTTGGGTAGAACCTTTCTGTATAAAATATAAAACATTTCCACGAACTAAAACATCATAAACGTGTCAACTATGCAGAGATATATTTAGGGTCTGTTGTTTGGGGAAAAGCATAGAAGCCCCTTCTTCCATGCTCAATGTCCTATGAATTTTTTTTTGCACGCTCATAGAAGCCACAGGTTCTGTCTTTCAGCTTCCATGAGCGTGCAACAAACGGGGGATCTTGTTTGATGGAACTTCCCACTGCCCAAAAGTTATAAAGAATAGGAAAGGAGCAGAAACAATGGCTAGATGAAACATGGAGATTTTGAAGGGTATCATATAATACACACGTTCTAAAATAATGCATTATTGAAATTATAGGACAGGAGGGAGTCCTTTCCTGATGAATGTAACAAAATGTGTGATATAAACAATTTCATGTTGCATTTATCATTGCTGAAGCATGTAAAAAGAAAGCTACCACTGAAGCTCTTCCACTCTCAAACCATTGGCGACCAGTTAGTTTCTTCTCCTTTGGTGCCCCAAGCACTGAATCAGGAAGCAGTCTACATGAAAGAAGAGTTCATATTAGAACAACACTAGTCCTATGAAGGAGAAGCCATATAAGTTAACAGAGCTCCCAAAGAATTGTCCTACTGGAACTTAGTACAAAAAGCTAACAAATAATTGGGATTGGGCCATGGACTTTATTGGTTACCGTGTTTACTTTCGTAAGATACAGCCACACCGCTTACTCCCATGCACAACCCACCCCCTCTCCCCATCTCCCCCCCACAGAAAAAAGGAAAGAAAAAGAAACCAAAAAAAAATATGCCAAAAAAAAAGCAGGAAAGAAAAAAGAAAAAGAGAAAAAGAAGAGATAAGATGTAAGATAACCTTGCCATAGAACCTTAGTCTGCAAATAGAAATGCAATAAATCATATCGTGACAAAAATCTAAGGTTAGGTACTTGAATTGATTTCGTTAGCTCTCACAGGATAGACCTATCCTTGTTCAAAAGAAACGAAGCGAACTTAAAAACTAGATAAGAATTTAATGGCATCCTAGATAATATATATCTACAAATATGCATAGAAAGGTGCAACTTCCAATTCCCTTCTACCTTTGCAAAATTTAACACATGAAAAGATACATGAACTGATTTGAAAACACACATTCTGCATGAAGGGGTCTGGTTGCTGGTGTTTCTTTTCATCCATAAAAAAACCTACTATTGATTACCATTAGATCTTGATAAGTACATCAGAATATAACCAGGCATAACTATCAATTACTGCATGGCATGAAATAGGAGAAGAAGCTAAGCATAATCTGAGAGATTTAGCTTACTTGGCTCTCTCCAATGCCAATTCTGCTTCGAACCGTTCTCTCCAAGCAAGAAAACTCTCAATCGTTACTGGTTCTCCATGTGGTATAATTATCTGAAAGATAAGCAAGACACAAGCTTAGCAATAGAGGATAGGAAGAGAACACCACTAGATTAATGGAGTTAAAAATGGAAAATTACAAACTCATGGGAAAAAAATAAAATAGCATTAGTGATCCATGTTAATGGTAAAATTACTGAACACAGTACTGTCATGCCTTGTAAAGCCATTGGCATTCAATTGAAATGGAAAAGCAAGTACTTTTGCTTACGCCATGGCAAATGAGGCCAAAGGGAAAATCCTCACATGAGAACACCCTCGTATAGATACAAAAGGTTCATAAATACCCCGAGTGTGTAAGCATATAAGGGCATACAGCTTTACACAGCATGCACACAAACACGCACACAAGTCGCATGCATGCACATGCACACAAGCGAGCGCACAAACAAACACATATATAGGAAACATATACTATAAGACCAATTTACCTTTGGTCAAAGAAAGTAACACTCACCCCTAGCCATCAGATGTGAAATCAGGTGGCTAGGGATGTAAAACAAAGTGAAAAAAACTTGCGTAGACTTTGAACATGGTCAATGGCGTTACCCCCAACGTCCTGATTTGATGTCTGACAGCTACGGGTGATTGTGATTGTCTCGTATCAAAGCTAAAAAGTCTTATTTGCCCTCCCACCACCCCCCCCCCCCACGCCCCCCAAAAAAAAAAAACAACACTCACATACACACATGTATGTATGTATGTAAATAGATCCTTAATATGAAACACACTAAAACAAAACTTGTCTTGATATGGTAAAGAAAAGTTACATTCGAGATGTGATATCCAAGATATAAATTATTAACAAGTTTACAAAGACATGAGCTAATGATATATATTTGATAACTGAAAAGCGAAAACACCGCTAGCATCATGACACTAAAGTTTTAGTTAAACAGTGGTGGAAATCAATGTAACAATAAAATATCATATAACTGCTAAATGAAGGACTAACCAAGGTGAAACCAATTATGATTACTTAGGGATGGTGTGTATGTTACATCTGCAATGATTGAAAAGTAAATGAAACTAAAGTTCCAATAATATGTAGGAAATCACCATCAAATGCCATTCTAACAATAAGATATAACCATGCTGAATACAAATATTTCTCCACGGGGATGAGATATATCCAGAAAAGGCTAACACAGTTCATAGGATGAAAAAAAAACACTGGCTAGCATGACTATGATTGTTTCAAAATCTATATGGTGACACAAACAGTGATTGTCGAATCCATTCACATGCCATAACAACTGAGAATGAGGATGATCATGTAGGTATACATGGTAGGCACCTAGCTCTGGGGGTACCAGATAATGCAATTTACGCTGCCAAAGTTCTTTCGAATTAGTTTTCTGAGAAATTAAGCTATTTGGAGTCAGGGAAACAGACCATGTTCACTAGTTGGCCTATGATATTGCATCTAGAATCAACTTTAGGACGAAATGCGCAATTTATAAGGGACATGACCTTAGAAGGAAATTCATGGACTTGCTTTCATTCAACTTGTAAGATTTCTCAGTCCGCCCTTTGAGAAATACTTTCTCAAACAAAATGAAATCAAACTGAGATTTCATCACTATTGGATGGAAAATTTATGATCACAAGGAGACCCAAAAGGTTGGAAAATGAATGGAATGAACTATGAAAAATATCCTATTTCACAAAATTTTGAAACAGACTTTGGTCTTTTCAAGACAACGACAGATATGCCCACAATGCCACTTCCATGACTGATTTCATGACTAAAAACATAACACACGTACCTCACCATGACACTATTAGAACTTAGTGAGAAAAAAAAGACATTTTGAGGACTTCGAACTGCAGTTGATGGACTCCCAAAGAGTGTAGAATTCCACGAGTTTGGTTCTTTTATTAATAAGTTAGACTTCTACCATAAGTGCACTAGAATCTTAAGCATTTCTGACCTCAACATAACGGTACAAACCAAATTTAGACAATTAGACTTGAGCCTCGTTTTCATAAATACGTAAAATTTTATTTATTTTGCAGTCACCACCTAGATTATGTTAAATGTTTTATGATGAAAAATACCTGGCCATAAACCTTGTTCAATATAACCACAAGAAAACCGCAAGATTTCTTTCATTGTGGAAATTTATTAATTTATTTTTTGGTATTGGTATCTGTAGTTTTGTTAGTATAGAAAGATCATTACAAGAGGGATATTGAAGTCTAATTGACATTCTTTTATTATGCACGAAGCTAAACTGCCAGAGTTCTTCAAATGTGGCAATGGAAGGATAGAAAGGGGAGCAAAGGAGTAGGCAAAACATATTATTTTGGAGAGAAAGAAGGGTAGTGTGGAACGCATGTTTGTTTAGGAAGAGAGAGAAATTTTAGTTAGTTAAAGATGGCCATTTTGAATCAAAGGGAGTGCAGGAAGACTAGAGTGAGGTGGGCACAAGGTAATTGTGAGGACACTTGCTGAGGACCAAGTAATGCAGATTGGAAGGGTGTTTTTTGATTTTTTAGGTAGTTCAGATGGATGGTATCCCCTACCGTGGTAGGAATGGAACTCAAGACGTCATGTTGTGTCGACCCACCACCCTGACCACCTGGCCTTGAGCCCATTTATAGACTGGAAGGTTGTTAATTTGTGAGGAAGAGTACGAAGGGTCCGTAAATGAGATAGAAGTGCATGGCATTGCAATAAGGGACAGCCCAGAAAAGATGTGAGTGGAAGCAAGAAGGCAATGCATAACATTGGTTTTCAATAGGAGGTGCACAACAAGTGCCTAGAGTTTTTTCTGAGTACTACGAGGATGATCCAAGGAAACAACAGGAGAAAATAAAAAACAAAAAAAAAATTACGGATTAAAGTCAGGACAGGAAAGGTCAACAGGACGAGTTCGAGCTTTGGAAGGGCCTAAGAGGGACAAAGTCAATTCAGTCATGAGGTTTTATAAGAGGAAGAAATATTTTCAACTGTGGGGGCTAGGTAACAAGCTGATAGAATTGAGGTATAAAATTCAAGGATTCAACGTTGTATCCAAATTTATTTAGAGAAAATCAAGGAGATTGGAAGTTCTTTAAATGCATGCACAGGAGAGTTGAATTTTAGAATGGGTGAATACAGTGGTTGCAAGATTACACATGCATGACATTCTTGAATTCTGGGAGTTCCACATATTTGAGCCAAGCGCTTTGTTATCACTATTCAAATTTATAATTAGTTTAGAGTCCATTAACTTTGTCCTTGGTCAAATGGTTTCTTCCCCGTTGCGCGACTCTTCATGGAGTAGGTTGTGGGTTCATCATCAGAACAAGCAGCTACCAGAACGTGGGGGGTGAAAAGTTAAAGATATATTCCCTGGGTATCATATTACCTGGTGTCAATCTCCCAATTCACTACATGGCACTTTTCATGATGCCCAGGTCAGTAGGCAGAGTCAATATGTTCAGATCAAATATTTCTGAAGCAATAAGGCTTAAAGGTATAGGATAAACACAGTCGAATGGAAGGAGGTGTGTTATCAGCTATGATGCATGGAACTTGTATATGCTTAACATGCATGTCTCTTATTGTGTCGACACCAATACTGAAACCAAACATTGTTATGATATTTGTAAGCATAATATGAAATAGCTACAGAAACAAAACATCACGCATCATGAAAATAGTATATGTGCTTGTCGATGTATCTGCATTACTTGGTATAGTAATGAAAATAGTATAGTAATGCAGATAGGGATCTTCTAGCATTTCACAATCCCCAGCTCCTGATCCCGATTCCACTCTTTGTCCCGCTCCCAAACCCAACAACTATGGTCTAAGTTTCCAAAATATACACAAAATACACATTCAAAAAGCTCAAGAAGATAACAATATGTACACTACAGGAATAACTAACATGTCAAAATTTTGAGAACGGAAAGGTATTCACTGACTGTCAAGAATCCAAAATCTAGAAATAATGGTGTCATTTTTCCAACAGTCTCACACAAGAGCAGCCAAGATTTGGTAAATGAAGCTCGGGTACCAATGGAGCTCGGACCTTCAATTTAGAAAACAGAGCAGCACAAAGCAGTGAAAGTCATAGGCAGGACAGACAGCCATACGTCATCTTTAGCTGTATCATTCTCCTCAGTGTCCAGGGGCTCAGCATCAGAGCCAAATTTATCAGTTAACCACTCTTTAGCTGATGTAGCTAGCGTGTAGACCATAGCCATCCCAAGATTTTCAGATGCCTATTTAATACAAATAAGAAAGAAAATTAGAAAACTAATGGTATTCTAAACTAATTTCCATGAAAAGCTCAAAGAATCTCCAGAGTTCATAACATGGTCTAAATTGGCAGATGGCATCCTCAATATGAATTAGTTAAAGTGCACAGGAATTTAATATCTCCAATATTTGGAATGCATATCAAATTTTCATACGAGCATCAGTAGAAAGATAGCCAGCTAACGTTCACAACTCTTCAAAATTACAAAGATTAATGATAGAATGAGTTGTGAATGATAGATTTACTAACTTTGTGGTTTATTTTATAAAATGTTTTTACTTTTTGTGATATATTTATCATTAAGGATAATTTTGTAAATATCACTACAAAATATAGAGTGCCCTTGATGATCCCAGCTGTTACAAGATAACAGGAGATCAGCAAACTTCAAAAACAGAATGTGGCCTATGCTTTGTTACAAGAGTTTCTGCCCATGTGAGAGACAAACATATTGGACAAACAATATTTAACAAGAGATGCAATTAAGGAGTTCTCAGAAAGGTATATTACTAGGTAAACACCAGAAAATTGTCCACAATAGAAATCGTTTCCTCGAAGTCAGGCAACTAAATGATGTTTTGCATATGTTTAACAAACTTCGCAACGTCATCACACTTGATTCCTAAGTTTCCATAGCAGCATTCATGCATGTTAACAGAAGAGGAAATACGAGATATCATTAGTTGCTGACTGCAAGAAGGTAAGTGTCTCGGCAACTAAGTGTCTTCAGTAGAATTTGCAATTATCCAGGCGGTATAGGAACATATATTGGTACATGGATGTTTAGCTTTTGTGGTGTCAAATGAACATTAGTTAGCATTCATATTCTTCTTGAGAGATGGACCAGGCAGTAAACCTAAGTACATATTTGGATATGTGAAAGACATAAGGAGAACATGTTTGGAAGATATTAATGAAAATATTGATGTCTAGAGAAGGATGGCAATTCTGTTATGTTAATTAAAATTGTGATTTGCAGATATAAAGCTTAACAAAATCACTCATGCTCAACAACAGTTGGAATACAACTATATCAGGCCTCAGAAATAACCTCTTGTTCAAGTTTCTCCTTCAAAACTTTCAGATCTTCTGACTTAATTCCTCGCAAACTGCAAATTTTCAGTGAACACAATATTTTAATGCATATATTGGGATACTTGGTAGCGCCGAAAATGTTTAAATAAGAAGTTTCACAAGCTGAAAATTAAATGATAATATAGTGTTCAAGTTGAAGAAATTATTGAAGAAAGTTAAGAGGACATTAATCAGCTTTCATTTATGATCCATTATGAAAGTTAAGTGCACCAATGATCCATTATGAAAGTTTACAGGTATCGACCTAGCAGTCTTGGCAAACAAACATTAAAAAAAAAAAAGATACATGAGCAACTAAGTATAATAAAATGCAAAAGAAGAAATATTATTTTTACCTTTTCAGTAGTCAGAATAAAATAGTAAGATTGTCCTAATTTTTCTACCTTTGGAGGGAATAGGGTACAAACAGCAACACATGCATGGGAATGAACTGCATAAAGTTCACCAGAGGCCTACACAACCATTAGAGTTGTTTTTTGAGGAAGACCCTAAATGGAACTGTATATCACCCTCCACCTCCCCACCATGCACAGCCCACGACAAGATGGGTGTGGACAAGAGCGGCAGAGCCACATACACCACTCTAGGCGTTAACCAGGGGGGAGCTAGCATCTGTCAATTCGATGTGCTCATTTATTTTCTTTTTGTTTCTTTCTTCTTTCATGTATTCTGGAATGGGGTTTACCGAGAAACCCATATATGATTTTGGGGGCTGCTAGCCAACCGTCAAATTAATGGTGAGCTATGGAGTGTAGACTCTCATAGCCTTACCTAATGGAAAACTTTTCATTATTTCACGAAAGGGTGAGCTCGCAGGCCCATTTCCCTAACATCATCTTGAGAGCCACCAAGCCTGACATACGAAACCCAAATTAACTTGGAGACTATTGGATGGGCCCCAAAATTACTGTTTCCTTTTCCTCCCTACCCCCTACCCCCAATTGATCCATGTAGGAAAAAAGAGGGAATTCCCTGAACTGGCAAAAAGAAGGGGCTGCATATTCTTTTACCTTCTTTTTTTAGAATGATGGTTAACTTCCAAATGGAAATAGAAAAGCCCTTCCCAGCCCCCCAAAACTGTCTTGAAAAGAAACAGAAAAGACCAGACCCAATTGGCTAAAGGAAGTGGGTCCAGTTCAATAAAAACTGGTCAGCATGTCCAGTTTGACGGGTCTATATTTTATGCAAGGCCAACAGTTGGAGAACTGGTTCCCAATACTCCAATTTTACATTGACCAAACAAGCAAATGAGAGTTTTTTTTTTGGATAAAAACAAGCAAACGAGACAATTTTTTTTGGGATAAAAACAAGCAAATGAGACAGTTTTTTTTGGGATAAAAACAAGCAAACGAGACAGTTCTGGTTGAAATAGTGAAACCAGTCTGTTTGTTGTGGTCTTTAGTACCAACTTGACCATATGCTTGTGCACTGTAAAAAGTAAGAATGTAATGCAGAAAATTGATACTTCACCCGAAAGATTCAGGACATCAATTCACATTAAATAATCAAAGCCAGCTTCATACAATAAACAGGAACAGAAACCTTTTCACATTAAGAAGAGGTGGCTCATCTGGATATTTCTCAGTGTGCGAAAAAATTAATGCCAAGCTGACTGCAATAGAAACATAAAAACTGGTGTTAATATTGATACAAAAGTGTTAATCCGATCCAGACAAGAAAGTTTACTAACAACCTAACAAATCACTCATCCAATCAACAAACTTTATAAATGAACTAACAAACCTAAGATCCAAAAACAGAACCAGCATAGGAAAATAGTGCCAACACATATTTGCATAACTATGTCTATAAAGCTGTTGGAAGTTCTTTAGTTGTAATTGTGTACAAGCATAGCAAAACAATTTCATACAGAAAATCAATTTGGCATGAAGTTGGATGTGCTTTATGGCTATATGGAAATGGTTAGGCTCAGGTCTGATGAAGAAGCTTGCCTATTTCTATGGATGTAATGGGGGTCTCCCCCCTCCCCCCGCCACCCTCCCTTGAGGCATTCTAGTTTTTAAAAATCATATGTGTGTGGTTTTTCTGGGGTGTTTAAAAATGAAAACTTTATTACCAAACAAAATGTTGGCCGTGCACCTGACTCCACCTCGTAGTGCCACTAAAGATGAAAATTATGTGATGAACTCTAGAACCTCATTGTGCTTTCTATAATATGTCCTTGTACACTACTTCAGAAATCAGGTATACAAGTGTAAGCATAATCATTAGAAAAAGAATGTAGGTCAAGCGTAACAAGAATGGAAATCCTCCTCATACAAAATAATGTTAAACACACGGAGAATTCAACAATCAGTTAAGTCTCCATTTGGGGCCACAATGGACATATAGGCAAAAAGAAGATTCCACCAAAGCTTAAGCTTTGAATATTATTATAAAAATCGCTGTGCAGAACAACAGCCAATTTGAAGAGAAATATAGAGTTAAGATCTTAGTGGATATCGCCATCATCATCATCATCTGAGCCTTATCCCAACTATTTACACAAATCCTGTTCTATGGATATTCAAGTAAAAAATATCCATGTAAAAAACATATGTGCATCAAACAAACCTGGGATGCCAACTTGCTCATCTGCATCATCATCCTGAAAAATTGCAGCTCATGATTAGTATCCATAATAATGTGTAAATTAAGAGATGAGTGAGCAATTAGAATAGGTACCAAATAAAAAGAGAAGAGAACATTCAAAATGTATCAACTCACAAAATATAGGTACATACAGCTAGGGTAAGCGTAAACCCAAAAAAAAAAAAACAAGAAAAATCTTTTGAGAACCGAATCAACTCTTAAGCATCCAAATACACACAAATATGTAGTGTCACAATAAGAAATTGAAAATACAGAGAAGAAGTAACAAACACCTAGATTCATTTTTAAGCAAACCAATTGATTAATGAACTACTACTATCATACCCACCGCTGTAATTTCGTGTTCATTCACTCACCCCTTTGAAGGAGATTTCGAATTATTATCAGATGACCACAGAAGAGTTGTAGTTGAAGTATGTTTGGCTATGTTTATGAGGAAATTTTTAAATTTATATAAATTTTAATGCCTAAAATATGGCCATGGAAACAGGGAATCAAATTCAGAAATGGAGAGTCTAGCAAAAAGTTTGGCCCAGGAATTTACGACACCACAGTTCAGGACCCTTTATTTCAGACACCTTTCATAATCTACTTCTAGTTTCTCCATTGGAATCTAATGAAGTATCTGATTGAGTCTACTGCTATAGATTTTACAGAAAAAATCTGCCAATTAAGTTCAGATATCACATAATATTAAATGTTATAGTGTATTCTCAAATTTACCTATTTGAAATCAGGAGTATGGCAATGGGCCCATCCTACGCCGGGCAAGCGCTGGTCGGAGACAGCCAGCCTGGGACACTAGAGGTCCGCCTGGACTAAACAGCTCTGGCCCACCCTGGCCTTGCCCGAATTTTATTTTTTAGGATATTATAAAAGAGAAAAAAATATAAAAAAAATGAGGCAAGAGGGGATGTAACTTAAAAAATAATGAGTAGCAAGCATACAAACTATCAATAAAGGCCCTACCCATTAGATCTATACAATTTTACTTCTAAAATATACAATGAATGGGGAACAATCCTGTGTATTTTCAATAGACAGGCCTGGGGTGATTTTAGATCACATTCATCAAATTAAAACCTATCTAGAGATTTATCTTACTTTTTACTAATTTGAAGTTTACGTTTTCTCTTCCCCACTTATAAGGCTATTTTTCTCCATCAATTTTAAATGGGTGCAGTTCTATAAGGTTGCAACCTTAAACAGTCCAATTAAGGCGCACCTCCAAATTTTATCATAACATGTAATTTTGGTGTAAAAAATTCTTAGGATTATCTAAAAATTTATTTTCATATCTAATTATAAAATTTTAACCTCAAAATTGATTAAAATCAAGTAGATCTATAAACATATGAAAATCTTGAAAATGGACGGTCTAGATAATGTGGTGCAAGATGTACTATTTCTGAGACTCAAAACAGTTTTTGTTTCATAGTCATACATCTCAATGTTGAGGGTTTTCCAACATTAAGACAACATTCTCCGATGAATTTTTGAGGTGCATCTGTAATTCTACATTTTAAGGTTGCAACCTTATATAAACTTTTTTCATTTTAAATATACCCTAGGCTATTGGAGTGTACCCAAAAAGCATCTTGCTGCTTTGAACCTAAAAGCCTTTTCTCTCTCCCTCCCCTTTCTCTCTCTAAATTCTCGAAAGCCCCACTCTCTCTAAAGCAACAGACCATCCCTCTTTTGATACCTCCAACCCTTGCACGCACAAACTCTCTCTATTGTGATTCTCTCTCAGGAGCTCGAACCGTAAAATAGAGGAATAACGCAAAAAGCTAAGAAATCCGGGGGCTTTCAGGTCAGAATTTTACATCAGCCAGCAAATGAGACTAAGGCATCAAAGAAATATAATTAGGTCTCTCTCTCTCTTTGTCTCTATTTAAAAAGAACATAGGTATTTCTGAGATGGCTCTCCGTGCTATTTCTCCCAAACATAGATTGCACTTTGGATGCTTAGAGACAAAAAACCGGAGAAGCAATTACCATAACATGAGATTGGATTCTCCCCCTTCTCTCTCGCTTTCTCCCCCTGATGTTAAAAGTTTGAAATGGGCACCTCCCTCTCTTTCTAAAATCACAATCTGTCTCCCCCTCTCTCATATTATGAACTTGAGAATCTGTTGCCCCTCTCTAAATTAGAATCTTAAATAATGCGTACCTCTCCCTCTCTATAGAATTGGGAAAGAGAGCAATAAACTCGAGAGTTATGAAATCAAGCAGTATGAGGCTCTCTCTCCAAAGATACCAGTCAAGTGATCATTCTCTCTCTAGATTCAAAAAAATAAAAAAGAGACACAATAAGGGTAGTCTCTAGAAATCAAGAAGCAATAACAATGAAGTATCTGTAAAACTTTTATTCAAATGCCGTGCAAATTGTTGGGAGATGGTCGAGAGAGAAAAACCCAACAGTTTTCAGAATTTATTTACAACTTCTGAGTATGAGAAACATGGGAGAGAGCAAAGATTGGAGATTCCCCAGCTTACCCACCTTAAAAGCAAGGGAGGAAGTCATCTAGCATTTTAATTGTCTAGAAGTCAATTAGGATTATGGTTGACAAGATCAGGATCACCAGTGAGTTCAAAACTGTTAGATGGCTACCCAAACCTTGTTTTGGACACACCTTTCCCATCATTATTCGACATTACTCAGGACCATGGGAAAAGAACTCACTTTTCTCCCCCCTCCCTATAGTGGTATATTCTAAATTCCAAATAATTAAAAGACCTGTCATAAATACAATCTCTATAATAACCAGCCATCACCTACATATGAGACTCTCACAGTAAGAACAGTAACGCAGATGCCCATCTACTGAAATGTCTGACATTGAATGCTAGGGGTAAGAAAAAAGGATTGTATACTATAAGACCATTCATTTTTGGTACAAGGATGTCACAATCACTCTTAGCCATTAACGTCACAGTGTTCGAGAGATTTTATTTGGAGTTGGTATGCAATCAATGACACATTCCCAACCCCCCGATTTTACATCTAATTTTGACCTCCTTATACCATAAGTAAGCGGTCTAATTGTGTATACATCTGGTAAAAAAACTGTCCTATCAGGCAGCATGCCAATTTGGCAGTTCCCCACAAAGAAATCCCCCTTCAACCCTCACCAACCACTCAGGGACTCGTATTTCCAATTCAACATGATCAAACAGTAGCCCCCACTGTAGGCAAAGCACGAAACAATCTAATACAACTGAGCTCATCAGCATCTTCTCTTTATTAGTACTGGGATCACTAAAATAGATGTTGTAATGCACAAATGCAGTACCTGTGGGGATAATGTAATTTGGAAGCAGTGGTTGTCTGTAGATAGGCCACTCTCACTAGGCTCAATTTCTGCCCAGAAACATCAGAAAAGAAAGACAATTATTACAAATAGCCCAATGATAAAGTGCCTTTATCTAACCCACAGGTAACTGATCATGGATAGTGTAACTTTCAGAAGTAAACAATTGAAATAAGAACATGTTTAAAACAGTAAAGACAGTTTATTTTCAAAAAAGAATTTATAGATGGTCTTGAAGGATCATCTCACTGTTGCAGAAGCCAATGTTTTTTCATCAACTAAATTAAGACAAATATGAAAATTGACAAATTAACCTTTTATGTCATCCATAAGGATGGCTTGCAGAGCTTCAATCTCCATTTCTTGTTCTTGAATATGGTCTGTTGAAAAGTGCATTAAAAACAAAATCAGTGCCACATAGACCGCTTGCAAATAAAACTTGTTCGGAAGGAACATGAAAAGCAGCCAAGAGCAATTTCGCAACGAAATCTCAGTTTACAGGTGCTACATCAAATAAGTTTTGCGACTTCTCTCTCTCTACTCAATGGAGAAAGAAGTAGAAATTATGAAAGTCGGTAAAAGATACAAAAGAAAACAAATAAATAAAAAGATATGGGGGGTGTCACTCCAAAGACCCCAAGTTATTTCAATCTAGTTTATCCCCAATAAGAGTTGCCACCAAGTAAAGCCTCTTTCAGAAGATGGAAACCTCTATTACAGTCAACATCTCATACGAATATAAGATTTCAGCAAGAAAACCAAATGTCTCCTTGGAGGAGAGTACGGTCTCTAGAGTCCCTTGGCAAGTTTCCCTTGATAAAATTATGCTTAAAGAATATCCCTCTTTGCCTCAGAAAGCGTCACCGAACCCTAATACCAGGTAAGCACCTGTATTAAGGCTATTCTTTCAAACAGACCCATCTATATCATGTCCTTATTCCTATGCCTGCTAGCATCACCATCAAAGAGGAAAATTTCCTTTTGTCAAGGGCCTGATCCAATAAAGAAAAAATACAACTAGTGGCATGGGAGAAGGTCTGCCTACCGAAACAACAAGGAGGTCTGGGAATGTTCAATCTCAAATTGCTTAATTTTGCATTTTTAGCAAGCGAATGTGGCAGTTAATACCCCAAAAAAACTTAATATTGCACAAAGTTATTCTAAAAAAGTACAGAATCCAAGAGCTTGGGTGGTTCCTTATAAGAATGTCCCTTGCCATCACTTCTAGATTTTGGAAAAGCTGAATAGGAAGTTCTATAGGACAGTTATGAGATCAGCTTTGCTTTATGGGACAATGTTGGGCAGTCAAGAAACGACATATCCATAGGATGAGTGTAGCTGAGATGAGGATGTTGAGATGGACGAGCGGCAAGACAAGAAGGGATAGAATTCGAAATGAATACATTTGGGAGACCTTAAGTGTGACTCCAATAGGCGATAAAATTGAGAGAATATAGACTTAAGTAGGCTGGGCATGTGCAGCGCAGGCCTAGTATAATACCTGTTAGGAGGTGCGAGTTGGTTCAAGTAGAAAGCTCAAAAAGAGAAAGGGTAGGCACAAAAGCACATGGTTGGAAGTAATAAGAAAAGATATGGGGACTTATAGCCTCACTGAGGGTATAACCCTTGATAGAGCATAACAGTGAACCAAGATTCGTGTAGCGGACCCCACATAGTTAGAAAAATGCTCTGATGATGATGATGATGATGCTCCACGTGGAGACTTGTTCCTGCATTATGTCCGATTCAAAGTTAAAGTGGACAGAGGGTATTGTGTTCTAGAATGGCCAGTGGATCGTACACCAGCCCCTAAAAGACAATGGCCCAAACCTCTTTGTTGTAGCCAGGCGCCCCAAGGCTATAGTTCCTAAGTGCTACGAAATGTCACAAGCAGGAATAATTTGGGATCTGACCTTTAGAAGATCACTCGATGACCATTAAACTCAAGATTTGTTAGCATTGCTACATCTGCCCCTCTCCCACTTTGTAAATGGAACTGACCAAGAAAAAGTTGTTTGGACCAAATCCCAATCCAAGCTTGGCTGACACAAATGCCCCCAAAAATCCAAGCTTCAAATGGTTGGTGATCTCAAACCAAAATTTAACTGGAAAGCAGCTACAAAAGAAGGGGATTTGGCCTCCCCAACTGATGCATCCTATGCATGGAGGCAAAGCAAATGAACAACCAATTGCTCCCCCAATTGCAAGTTCACTACTTCTCACTTGGGCTAAATTATTGCAAGATTTCAATCAGTTTTGGGTGACTTCCATCTCCACTGAACAACTATTCTCAGCAGTCTTTTATCCCCCATACCAGGCGGTTGAACTGTTCCTCTGGAGGGCCTCCATCCTTGCCACATCTGAACACATTAGAAATCTGACAATCTTTTCCAAGGAAAATTTATTAATTTAATTGAGGACTATCCTTAGGTTCAATACCGGTTAGTTCCCCAAGGCCACACTTACAGATTCCAACAAACCTGGGATCAAAGTTAATGTAGGAAGCTGCCCTTTAGGCAACCTGAGCCCTAGTGGCTACAGTGGAAGTTTCAAAAAATCCCAGAGAGATACCTTTCTTTCCTTCTCCAGCTAAATTGTTATAGCCAATCAACCTTAGCTGAGTCAAGCACCGTTCTTGAAGGCCTTAAAAGTTCAACCCTGCCAAGAGGGAAGAGTTAATAGTCAAAGGGGACTTCAATAACATCATTGCTTGGGCAACAAGAGTGACCCAATGTCCTTGGAGGCATTCTCATATCTTTGACAACACCATTTATCTTTGATAAGTCACCTTCTGTCATATCAAGTGTGAGGTCACCTTCCATCATATCTAGCAGAACGCCAATTCAGCAGCTGATGCTGTGGCAAAAGACGATGCTGACTGTCGCTACTTATTAGAATTTTTTGGACACCTGACACCTCTCTCTCTCCCTCCACCCGCCTCGCCCCCCTGCCACTCTCTTTTCCTCTATGTTGTTTGTACATGACCTGTAAGGTCCCCTTTCTTTTTGATGGGTGAGGGATCCTCTTCTCTTTTCTGTTTATATACTCTTTATATTCTTGTAGAGAATCCAACTTGGGTTGCCTTTTATAACCCACAATGGGGGTCATTTTGTAAAATTATTACAGTACTAATACGTGTTGTTACCATTTCATAAAAAAGAAAAAGAGGCTTAAAGACCCTAACCAAAAAGTCATATGCAAGTTACAGAGAATCGCGACCCATAAAAACATTAACAATCGTACATGCCAATGAAGCATGTCATTATCCTTCCCCCTCTCCTAAGAAATAATCCCTCCAAACCTCAATTGCAGGAACCTCATACTACGGTAGCATTACTACACTCAGAACTAATGTTCTCTTTAGGCAATTTCTAGGCAGCTCCTAATGAAAGTGGCCTCCTTTCGCACTAGCAGACTCACAATAGGCCTTCCAATGATTACACACAAATCCACCAAATCCACCAGGCTGTATTGAGGTTGTGGTCAATTAGAGCTCAGCTTCAGTTCTCATGGGAATGAGGAATCCAGCTCAGGTGCAGCCATGTCGTCCATCTGAAACCCCTCACAAGACATAACCTACACATACCCAGCACCAAACACTTCAAGGGCAAGAGTCTCTAAGTCCATGAAATAATGTATTGCTGAACTATTTCCACAGCAGCGAAGTTCACGTAATAAATTTGAAAGCAGCAGTGGACTGTGCTGTTAGCCATGAAAGGCACCATAAGAATCTTTGACTTCACCATTTTCTCATAATCCACTATGAGGCATTTTTGCCCAAATTCTCCATAACCACTACGCCACACAAGTATTTCAATGCGAACATCTTGAAATCCAGATGTAAATTTTGTGAGTCATTTATAAATGTTTCCACACAACAATAACTTTCAATCTAGCAATGGGGATGACAAGCACATTGTTACTCATCAAACTCTGAATCAACCTCATGTAAGCATCTCATTTCCCTTACCTCCCCTTTTTTGTCCATTGGATTCGTCAGCAGCAATCATGATTGCATAGTCTCGAAAGAGATAGCCATCTGAGATTCAAGAACAAAAATATCACCCATGTTGTGTCGTACATGTTAATCCTCTAGAAAAGAACCCAATTATTCAGTCAAAGGGACTTGCCCAGAAAACCAATACCCTTAATATACTAAGAAGACTGTCTCAACCTTTTGCGATTTCACTTCACTGGCTCACAAGGAAAGGGCGCAGTATTAACAACAATGATTGTGCTATTGTGAAGTTCCATAGATGCATCACATTCTCACATCCAAGCCGTAAACTTTTGATAGATCAGGGTTCTTTCATTACAAAATTCACTCGAGAAAGGGGGAAGCTCCCACATGATTCAATCCATGCCAAAAAACTGAATTTGATGCTTCCGCTAGTATATCAATTATTTGAAATTTGGCACATGTTCCCACAGTTATTATCTCAGCAACCATTACAGTTATCATTTTATGTGAAACTTGGCCTTCTACATCTTGACCTCAAAAAAAGCCCAACAAGGGATGATGGTGTCCAAGATGTCACTAAGTTGTATACCTTAACCATACAGATATACAATACACCACCTTTGATCTCCATTTAACCTGAAAACCATATGGAGAACTTTGTAAATCTATGTGTAAAAGATATCGATGTTACTTTAAGTACTATCACGCACATTAATCTGCCTTCATGTAGAAAAACAGTACAATCTGACACACAAGCAATCAATGAATAAAGAGTTTGTTACCATATAGAAAACATGGGATCGATCTTGAGCCACTCCATATTGAACGAATATTTTTCATTCAATACCAACATAGAGTCCCTTCTTACTTCATCATCACCGTTCAAGCCTTATCCCAACTGTTTGGGGTCACCTGTAGAATCCTTTCTTACATCTGAACGAATCTATTAATAACTAAAAGTCTGTCCTCATACTTCAAGTAGACTTCTTTTCTGTTCAATGAGAATAGATGTCATTGATCATTCTTTTGGCTGGTTACTAAAGACCATTACCATGCATCAAATCGTTACCAAATGCTTTCAGCATGGGGCTCCACTTGATGAATATTTATGCAATAACCTAAGGGATTTGTTGATACTTCCCATCCCCATCATTTCTGAAATCCTTTCATGAACTGAAACAAGCACCTCAAATAACGGTTTGACAACTTTAGGTATTTTCTATCCCATCGTTGTCCCCTTAGAACCATATTTTCCCTACTCAACAAGACTGAGCAGTCCAAAAATCCCAATTTTCTACCTTTTATTTGATGACATGCTCCACACCAAAAGTGAAGTTATTAACAGATAACATATTAATCAAGTCTATATAGAGTCAGAAAGCAAGTATAATCATATTATCAAGTACATTTTGGCAGCATATACTCTAGTATATTCTCCCACACAATGTTGTTTCCTTGTCTAAGATTCTTCAAGCATTAAATTTTCCAGCTTAAATAACCTTTCCACTGTATTGCAAGTTTTGTCCTTGGCATCACAAGCCTATGGAGGCTAGTGTTATCTAAAGAATAAGATGAAGCTAACAATTATATCTTAAGCATAAAGGCTAGTGCTATCTAAAGAGTGAGGAGCTCAGAAGGCATTCATAAGGCCATGAAAAGCGACATTTATCAGTAGCCAATAAAAAGTAAAAATCCAAAGCCAAATGTGGTGTACTCACAAGCGAGTGCACACAGTACACCTATCAATCCCACTGCATGGCAACTCTACCATGAACCAACAAACCACCACTAAATCATCATTAACTTTTGAATCTATCATGTCATCCAATAGTGTTGCAAAATAACCATAATTCCCCTCTATTTATTCAAATTAACCCCATCTATGTATGTAATCAGGAGAATACTGCGCTCTAAATCCAATTCAACTGAAAACCAGTCCAACAGCTTAAAAATAATAAAGATCACAGATCACAACTGTCAATTTGAACAAGGAAAACCATATTAACTCACAGAAAACAAATATCAATAAAAAATATGTTTCCATAGTTGAATCACACCCTAGTATAGTAGTTGAGCGCAAGTGAAACCACTCCAAATTCTTCAAATTAACAAATAAACTTACTATTTCAAACTAAATCTATCACATCTGCAGCCCATAACTAAGAAGAAATTGTCAAAATGTCAACAAACAAAGAAAAAGGACAAGAAAAAAACATAAGAAGAAGAAGAAGAAGAAATGGCTAGCAAATCCATTAACTTAAGTGCAGTAATAATCAGGAAAAGCCCGATACATTCACTTTGCTATCAGTGAGAAAATCATCTTGCCGATTCTAAATCGAGATTTTAGACATGGATATTCCATTCATTTAAGTGCAGTAATAATCAGCAAAAGCCCAATACATTCATTTTGCTATCAGTGAGAAAATTATCTTGCTGATTCCAAATAGAGATTTAGACATGGATATACAGATCGATAGAGAGAGATGGATAGAGAGAGAGAAAGAGAGATGGATAGAGAGAGAGTACCTGCCATGGTTTATGGATTAATGAAGTAGTCGCGGTCTACCACTATGAACGAGAAAAGCAGATCGTTATTTAGCTTTTTCCAATTTATGAGCAACGAAAAGGGGAAAAAAAAAAAAAACCAGAAAATTCATGTCGAAATTCTCCCTCTAATTTCTAGAAATAACGTTAACGCTCCGGATTATATTTCTTTAAGGGCCGAATTTATAGTCCACACGATCATATACCTTCACTTCGGCTGATGGATGGTGAGACGTACCGGACGCCTATGAAATGGGTCCCACTTTTTTTCATCGCCTTCCACCCTACGATTGCAGGGTGATGATTCAGCGGACTACGATGGTATAGTTGGCGGGATTATAGATCAGGGGAAGCATTACATGTGACTTCCGATTAGAGCCTAGTCTTTTGCATCAAATCTTGGTCCGGATTAGAGTATTTTATTTTTAATTTAATTTAAAGATCATTTTAAAGTTAAACTTGAGGCATGCTTACAAGGGCTCACTTGATAAAAACAATAATAATTGGTGATTAAAGATTACCATAATACTTATAAAATTTAGGTATTTTTTATTAAGAAAAATTACATATATATCCGTTATATTTTACGTTATTACGGATATACCAAATTGATTATATTATTACATGTATATCCGTTTTTACCTTTTATAACAGCATTTTTTTTTGAAAAGACGACTTTATCCCTTTTCGAATGTTGAATAATCGAATTGGAGAGTTTTTCGAATGTTCAACATCCAAAAATAGGCCGTTTAACTTTCACATTCCCATTTTCGGGTGTTGAACATCCGAATTAAAGGGTTTTTCGAATGTTGGACATATGAAAATGTCATATTTTCGGATGTTCAGCATCCAAAATTATGACTTTGAATTTCCAGAAAGTCTTTGGAATTTCACAGTCATTTTCGGATGATGAACATTTGAAAATATGACAGTTTCGGATGTTCAACATTCGAAATGTCATATATTCGAATGTTCAACATCTGAAAATGTGATATTTTCAGACGTCCAACATCCGAAACCATTTTCACAAAGAATACAATGTATCGACATAACCCTTCAATTCAGATGTTCAATACCCAAAAAAGGGAATGTGAATGTTAAACTTTCGGTCTATTTTTGGATGTTGAACATCCGAAAGAACCCTCCAATTCGGTTGTTCAACATCAGAAAAGGGTAAAGATGTCTTTTTTTAAAATTTACGTTATAAAAAGTAAAAAATGGATATACATGTAATAACATAAACTATGTGGTACATCCGTAATAACGCAAAGTATAACGGATATTTATGTAATATTCTCTTTTTATTGTTTATTTTCATCATAAATATTTTTTTTTGTTTATTAGGTGAGAACCAATACGAAGAAGGTACTCCCCCAATTTCACTCAAAAATATTTTGTAAAGCAAGATTAAAAATTAAATATTATTTTGGTATGACATCGTGATATAAGTAACCACTACCGTCCATTCAAATCAAATAACTGAAAAGTGAGAAACTTTATGTTAAGTGGGATCACATACAAAGCTTTCCCTATTGAATATCTTGTTCTCTAATGTGGAAACAACAATATAGCTCTTATTCACAGTGGGTAGGGTTAGAATCAGTGGTTTAAAAAATGGATCGGTGGCCCAGATCAGACACCCTAGAAACCCATTCGGATTGGTGAATTGGTGATCTGGATCGAGAATCGGCCGAATCGGTCGGATTAAGCCTTAAAAAAATCCAAAAAAATAATTAAAATTCATTATAAATGTTGTTTTTTAGAAATCCAATAAGAAATAAGGGTACTACATTATTAACTTTCATTTTTTTATCAATATGTGAATATTGATATGTTATTTTCCTAACTAACTATAATCCAAAATTATTACAACTTAACCAACTATAATTTTATATACTGAAATTAAAATTGTTGGTTTCATTTTATAGTTATGTTATTATATAAATAATAACAAATCCAAAATATCTTATACTATAATCTAATTTAAAATGTATTATCGACTACTGTAAGAAAAAATAGTACATTACATTATTTATAATACAAATAAATTAAAATAAATAAAAGAAAAGATTTGGTTGTCAATGTAGAAATAAATTTTAAAGTGGTATGAATTATTATTATTTTTCTATCTTAAAATATCCTCTAAATTAATATGTTTTTAATATTCATAAATTAAAATTAGTATTATTTTTTATTTTTTTAATATCCTATGAGCTAGTACTAATTTTTAGTCTCAATTAAATACTTAATTAGTTATTAATCGTATAATGAAAAGATCCCGTGAGATAATAGCCTAATAAAGTTTTTATGTTTTATTTGGATAGATAAATTTAAATTTTTTTGGTGAAAGATAGGGGTGGTGAGCACCAATTATTAGCTTTAATAATACTTTTTTATCATATAATTTAATTACCACCATCGAATGTGTACCCTATGTAATTCATTACAGGCCTACACCGTCAAGGGTACACCGTTGGGGGTACAACAAGCCAAACTAATATGTTAAAACAAAAGAGATGTGGGATTAAAGCAACAATTAAAACCTCAAGGGGGTTTAGTAAAGTTAGTAAAATACATGTACTTTTCAATTTAGCCAAAAGATTTGCTACTCCTGCAGGAGTGTGCTATTTATTTACTCCTACAGGTCTAACACACTAGGAGTATCTTTTAGATCTCATCTTTTCAAGATGTAATATCTATAACCCCAAAATAAATTTCCAAAAATAAAATTTTTATGTACTAGAGAAAAAAGAAGAAGTCAAGATTGAATAGAGATGTCTAATGTTTTAGGAACTATATCTAAATCTTAGAAAAATTGAAATTCAAAATTTCTCTTTTGAAAATAATATTCCAATAATTTTTATGTTGTTCCCAAAATTTTAACCCAAAATAATCTCTTTAAAGAAGTATTTTGTGTGAGGGAGTACACGCATTGTTTTCTCTCGCGGGATCATAGTAAACACGATTTTCATTTTAATATCAATGTCGCTCGAGAGCGAAAATGAGACTTCATTATGATCACCAGTCAATTATCCTACATTGAAGAGATGTGGTATGTATAGGCTCATAAAACCAATCTCCGTTTCACAGACAAAACCGCTCGGTTTTCGGATTTCACGCTAAAACAACATGTCCATTGTGAAATCGAGTCGGTGTAACAAATTGCTTTCGGGCAACACATTGTCCAAACCACCTAGTTTCCCCGGAAACTGTTTTTTCAACCCCTGGTTAGAACAATTTGTGTTCGGGCAATGCATTTTGTCCAAACCGACTAGTTTCAACCCTTGGTTAGAACAAATTTTGTTCGGGCAACACATTTTGTCCAAACCGCCTAGTTTCCCTGGAAACCGTTTTTCAAGTTAGAACAAATTGTGTTCGGGCAACACATTTTGTCCAAACCTTTTGTCCAAACCGCTCGGTTTCCCCGAAAACCGTTAACAAATTGTGTTCAAGCAACACATTATCCAAACCGCCGGGTTTCCACCTAGTTTTCGATTTTCACACTAAAACGGCACGTCCATGGCAGTTCCCGTGTCGACCCGGAAATGGTTTTTTCAACCTCTGGTTAGAACAAATTGTGTTCGGGCAACACATTGTTCTTCAATTGGAACACTGAAGATCATCTCTTTTAGAAAGGAAAATATCGTTTGTTACTTACCGAGCTTTTGAAATTCAAC